CAAGTTTAGCTATCTTGCTGCTGTCTCTAGAGGTAGTATTTGACTCAGCTCACAGATCTCAACATCCCCACCACCCTTGGCCAAGGTACTGACATAGATTCCAAGGACTGATGCTTGAGGGCTGAAGCTCCGAGATATTGGTAATGTTCTTGATTATATTGTAATGAAAAAAGCTCTCCTTAATTATATCTCCTTTTTGATGTCCCACTTTTTTCTATAGACAACATATCATTTGGGTGACATACATGTTGTATATTTAAAGCCACGGTGTCTGAGCATCATTTTGCTGGACAATCTAGAATCCTCAATTAAAATTCAAGAAAGCCCAAAGATTTCTAGGTAGTGTAGATGCATTTAAGATTTTTTAAAAGTATGCTAATAAGTTACCATTCAGGTAGTTGGCCTTGCCCTTTTTTCTTAATTTTCTCTAATGTTCTATGGACAGTGATAATTGGGAAAGGAAAAATACTTCTTTACCTATCTCCTCTTAGAGTTTATTTTTTATGCAATTGACATGTATTGTATTGTAGTTAGCTAATTATGTGCCATCTTCCCAAAAGGCCTTCCCAAAAGGACTATAAACTCCCTGAAGGCAAGGACAACATTTTAGCAAGGTGTCAAACTACATATCCTGCCAACTATTCTCTGCCAGTGTGTAAATTGGAGCAAGAGATAGAAACCTGAACCTGGGTTAAGATCTGTTTTCTTGTTTCTATTGTAAAGTATGGTTGCTGGATTCCAAATCCTTTTTAGTATGTTTTATGGAATAAGGATTTACAATAGGGACAGAGAGAGTAATGGGGAGATAGAAAGAATGGTTTTTGTCCTAATTCTGTACATGATGGAGAACAACAGCTCTTTTAACCTCAGTCCTGTAAAACAGGAAGATATTAGTAATTTATGTGGTGTCTAAGCACTTTACAATTATTATCTTATTTAGTCCTCATAGCCATTGTGTAAGGTGGGTGCTATCATTATCCGCATTTTATAGATGCGCAAACTGAGGCAAACATAAATTAACTGCCTTGCCCAGGGTCACACAGCTAGTAAATGTCTGATATTGGCTTTGAACTCAGGTCTCCCTGATGCCTGGCCAGGTACTTTCCACTGTGCCACCTAGCTGCATCTCAAGGTAATTACAAGTGTTCAGTTAGAAACTAAGACTATTATGCAAATATTGGGGAAGGAAGCTCTTTCACAATTCAATAGATTTAAAAAAAAATAAACTCCTGTATTCAAGGCATTAGACTGGGCCCCGTGGGAGATACAAAGATAAGGTAGCCAAAGTCTCACCTCTTAAGGACTCATTAACAGTTATCATCCTAAAGATAACCTTTACCAAAAGGGAAGGTTTACTCATCAGACCTCTGGGAGAACTCGACCTTCAGGCAAGAGAAGAGAAGGGAAGTTGGCTTGGGGAATAGAGGATAAGAAGAAAGATGCCATCTGGGTCAAGTTAGAACACTTTTGTACACTGTTTCTCCGGGTTAAGAAGTTCAGTGGGAGGAAAAACCCTCATCTTCCATCAGTTGAGTTCACTACACCACCCTGCACAGAGATTAAGTGGTTTGTCCTGGTGCACACAGGTAAGTTTCTGAAATAAAACTTGAACCAAGGTCTTCTTGATTCCAAGTACAGAATTCTATGTAAAGCAGTTTGTAAGGTTTAAACAAACTATATAAACACAGTTTTTATTATTTTTAATAGTAGGAATAGAATCATTGCTATACAACATATGCTTAAGAAGCAAGTACCATTTTCTAAATATTAAAAAAACAATTGATATATAAAACAATAAATCTTTTTACTAAATGAATTAGTATGAGACAAACAGAAGAAATCCCATGTTAAGTAGGAAGATGTTTTTTACAAGTGAGAAAACACTGAGAGTTAGAAAGAAAAGATAAGTCCTGTTACTTTAAATACTGTGATCCCTACAGATTTTGTCATTTTTGGCTATACAAAAAGAAGTAGGCATTCTTGTCAACTCACAATACTAATGAGATACTTGAATTCCTCTTGTGGTTTTTATTTCTTGCATAAGTTAAGGCTGTCAATGCATAAAACCATGAATTTACAATTATTTAGAATTAACTCATTAGCACTTTTTGCATCCCCTCAAACAATCAAAAACACATCTTGTATCTCTCTGCTTTGGTCTTTCTGAAATGAAGTATTTTTTCTTCATTTAAAGCTTTCAGTTAACAAAGATATTTCTGCTAACTTGTTGATGTTTGTTCTTGATTTTCAAAGAGGACCAAAAGTCGGGGTCAATGTACAATGTGTCAGGCTGTAGCTGATCATACCAAGGCTCTAAACACAGGTTGGTCACAGGGTCCGCATGACCCTGGGAAATGTCTCTAAATTTGCACACTTCACATTTCTTTTGAGCTACCTCAATTCTGCTTTGGTCACAGATCACAGTGCCTTCTTTGATGTGGACACGTCATGTTGGGTGATCCTGTGTCCCAACTTCTTATATAAAAATCATCTTGTCTGGTGGGGGGGTTATTCAGGAACCTAAGATGTCATCATGGAGTAGAAGCAAAGGAATGAGTGTACTGTCAATTTTCTTTCATTAATTTCCCCCCCTTTTCTGGAGAATTTTATCAAAGAGAAACATTATGATGTCTAATAAAATAACCTGTTATTTCTTCAAATTGTGCAAGCATTGAAACCAGTATTGGTAAATAAAGATTTTGATGTTTTTTCTAAGTGTGTATCTCCATTCAAGTATGATTCTAAACTAACAAACAAAAATGATTTTTAAAAAAATGTTGTTTTCCAGGTTCCCAAAATGAATTCAGGTTTTATTTTCAATCCAAACTCTCTTCACCTACTTCATCACTTATTATTTTCTGAATTATGTAAAAATTTGGGCTGATTTAATTAATCTTAACTAATAAAGTAAGTACATGATATTGCTATTGCATTAATTGAACTAATCATCTAGTTAACCACCCCACTTATTAGATGTAAAGAAGCCAGGAATCCATTTCTTTTTTTTTCTATGGCAATTGGGGTTAAGTGACTTGCCCAGGGTCACACAGCTAGTTAAGTGTCAAGTGTTTGGTCTGAGGTCGGATTTGAACTCAGGTCCTCCTGACTCCAGGGCCGGTACTCTATCCACTGTGACACCTAGCTGCTCCCTAGGAATCCATTTCTAAAAGGAATTCTTTTTGCAAAGATTATTTTTAAGACCCTTATTTCAATATTATTCCATGTACTGGGTTTCTTCCCCTGTAGCTATTTGTCTTTTGTAGGATGGTAGATTTTAAGGCAATTTCTCCACAGCCCTTCAATCAGAAGACAAGTAGCAAGGGAAAGTGAAAAGAGTGATGGATTCCAAGTCAAATGATCTGACTTTAGATTTGGGCTCTGTTACTTACTGTATAACCTTCAGTGAGTCACTTAAACTCTCTGGATCTTGATTCCTCATTTAAAAAGTAACAAAAAATTTTCGTCTCTACTTTTTTGGCTAAGCCTCAAAGAAATGAAAAAGGAAAGAAGGAACAACCTTTGGGAAATAACTTTTCTTGTTAATTGAAGTCAAGACTCTGAGAGGTCAGAGAGCTGCCATTCTTAAAGGAAGCCACAGGGACTTCAACTCTAAGAACTGGGGAGTAGGAATGAGGGTAGGGATTTTCACTTTGGTGTAAAAGATCCAATGAAAACAGTTAGGTGTGGGATTAAAGGATTCCCTCTTTAAAGCTGTGAGGGGAAAAGAGGGGAAGCATGAAATCTTTGTTGATAATTATGTCTATAGTCTTTGCCATTACTTAAGAGAACTGCATTTGCAAGGTATGCCCTCTAGAGGCTGGTTACTTCCTCACAGGTGCTTTGCCAGCAGTCTAGCAGCAGCTGGATGGTAGTGATCACGTCAGGTAGCATATGCTAAACAGTCTGCCTTTTCCCCAGTTATTGTTAGCTGAAACTCAAGGCAGTGAACATATAATCCAATCACAACTGCTTTTTTTCTATTAAAATAGATTTTTATTAAAACACTAAATCAAAATCACAGAATGCTAACACTGGATATTATACTACTTACTGTCCTTTATATAACAAACTAAACTCTAGATACAATATGAAGAAATACAATTCAAGAAGCTGACTGTGCAAGGCATTCTGCTATGAGCCACTGTCTTCTCTGTATTCCCCTCCCCATACTTTAGTACTATTGCTGCTACTACTACTACTACTACTACTGTTTATATAGCACTTATTATGTATCAGACAATTTACAATTATTATATCATCTGGTCCTCAAAATAGCCCTGGGAGGAAGGTGTTATTATTATCCCCATTTTATAGATGAGGAACCTGAGGCAAATAGAGGATGAATATCTTGCCCAGGATCACATAGCCTGTAAGTATCTGAGGCTGAATTTGAATTGAGGTCTTCCTAATTCTACTGCTTTGCTCACTACACCACCTAGCTGGTCTACACATCATCTGTACCACATGCCAAGGAAGTAATTGAAGATTGTTGTTGTTGAATTGTGTGGATCTTTTGATATTCAATTTCTACAGCAACCATAGATATTATAATGAAATGGTCTTGCATTTTTTGTATCGTATTACTTACATAGATGTTTTTGAAATTTTAAATGAGCAATGATGATAATAACGATATAAAATTATACTAATGAAGAGTAAAGAGAGGGCCATATTGCCAGATACATAGTAAGCACTTACTACCCTGTTATCCTTTTCTGAGATTTGAGCATCTTTCTCTGGCCACACTCAAGTCTAGGTCAGGGACCTGCTTTGTGGATTATGATTCTCCCACTCACACCAAAAGGCAGTAAGGGGAAAGGAGATTTTATGTGACCCTATGGGCTTTGTCTGTGGAATTTTCTTGGCAGAGACACTGGTTTGCCATGACCTTCCCTAGCAGGTCCCCATTTTACAGATGAGAAACTGAGGCAAATAGGAGTTAAGTGACTTGTCCAAGGTAAGTGTTTGAGACTAGATTTTAATTCAGATCTTCCTTACAGTTTAGAGGTGAGAGATAAAAGATAGTCCTGATTCTCAGTTCTGTTTTCCATCTAGTGAAAAGCTCACTATACTTTTGAATAAAATATATTTTAATATTTGAACTTAGCTGTTTCAATGAAAGGGGGAAGCTTGTATAATGGAGACAGCATTGGTCTAGGAGTTATGAGATCTGGGTTTTCAAGTCACAGTCTAATTATCTGTGCTACCCTGGGTAAATGGATTGACATAGCTAATCTTCATGTGCCTTACCTGTAAACAGAGAGCAGACTAGAGGATTTCCTTCTTCCCTCCTCATCTGGAATTCTGTGGCTCTAATTTAATACAATAAACATAATTGTCCTAAGACTAGATCTCATTACCACACACTTTTCAAACCGTGATTACCTCCTTACAGGTTTCTCACCTCAAATCTCTACCTTTTCTCCTCTCCATCTCTCATATCACTACCAGAATAATTTTTCTTAAAGACAGACCTGATCAGCTATTCACCTGATCAAAATTTACATTCCCTATTACCTATGGAGTAAAGTTTAAACTAATTTGCCTGCCACTGAAGACCTTGCCTTATCTTATTAGGCCCCTCCATTAGCTCTCTGCTTCATTCTCTGGAGGATTCCCATTGTGCTCTGTGTTTGGGCTATTCAAGATGACTGTAGCCTGTTGAATTACCTATTTTTTAAAGTGTTACTCAAATATCACCTCCTCTAAGATTCCTTCTCAGTGTCCCACTAACTTAATAAGGACCTCCATTCCTCAGTCCACATAGCATTTTGTCTTTTAACTCTTTAATGAACTCACCACATAATGTTCAATATTATATCTATTTACATCATCTTTTTTACTAAACCATAAGCTGCTCCACGGCAGGGGCAGCAGCTTATCTACACTTGCATCTTTATTTCTCCAGGTTTTAGAAAGCTCTCTTCACACAATAGAAGCTCAACAAATACTGGATTTGTGTTGAGTAGAAGAGCATATCATTTATTGTCTCTGTTAACCATGCCTAGGGGGAAACCTGGCAGCCCCAGACAGTCTCTTGATCCTAACTGCTGGCAAGAAGTCCAGGAGGAAATGAATAGCTTTTTAGGATCAGCTCTACAAAAGCCAAATCCATAAAATGTGGGGTAAACATTACACACATCCAATCTCTTTTAGGCCCATTTCCTCTAATCTTTGGTTAAATTTAAAATTGGAACCTTTCAGCTAAAATTTTAGAAAGGGTCCCACTTTGTATCTTCTTTTCACTCCATAATAAACCAGGCTTCAGCAGCCAGTCCCTTTCTCTCCCTCCAAAGCAAAAGGGATGTGGGGGTGGGGGTGGGGGTGAGGAAGAGGGGGAGCCCGCGGGGAAGGGAGTAGCTGTGATAATACTTTGATCCTTTGCCTCCCCTTGCCCTCATGCCAGACATTCATTCTAGACACTACTACCGCCTCCCTGAAGAGAGGTGGGCATGCTCAGTCACTTAGGCAAATTTCCTTTGAAAAGCAAAGTTCAACATCACAGAGCTGAGAGCTCCTAGCTGGGACAAAAGGAGGCCCCAGGCAGGGGTTTGGAAGCAATACCTTGTCTCCTTTTTTCTGTAAATTCAAAACTACAAAAAGTCAAAAGATGTCATTGTTACCTGACCACAAGCCCTGGAAGAAGTCGTTGAAGGCAGAGCAGCACCACGCAAAGTGCTGTGCAAATACTTTCTCGATGAGTGGGAGAAGCATGTTTTACTAACATTCTTTTTCTGCTTCCCCCCCCGCCAAAGTCCCAAAGTGATTTGTTAAGAACCTAAAGATCACAGGAAGGTTTTACTCTGCTAACAGAAAGTCAGATATCAACGAAGGACCAAGAGATGAATCCTCTGCTCCCTTTGCCGTCCGGAAACCCCGATGGTGTCTAGAGTACAGAGGATAAACGAGCCACTTTAAAATTAAGGGGGTGGGAGAGTGGGGATTCCGGGAGAGAAAATCCGTTCTACTGACTGGTAGTCTCAAATACTCCCCTCCCCACACCCGGGTCTCTAAGATCACCCCCACCCCCCCGCCCCCAGCTTTTCCATTTCATCCAATAAACGTAGGTTACTGCGGCAAGCTTTCTAAAACCAGAGACTCTTGAAATGCAGGCGGTTGTTTGGGGATGGTGAGGGTACCGTGACAGATTAGGATATAAAAGCACATGAGTTCAATTTGTCAATTGTCAAGGAGGTCTTCTTCTTGCCCTGAACTACGAGAGAGTCCACGGGAGACTGGAAGAACGAGTCACTGACCGAGAGGGGGAGCCCAGCAGTACCAGCTGCTGGAGGGAGCTTGGATCCCGGAGCAGCGGCGAGCGTCAGCGGATTAGGAAAGGGGGGTTGGGAAGCGGGGTAGAGTGAGGAGGGAGGGAGGGAGGGGAAAGCGGCTGGGGGGTCCTGAGTCCGGCTGGGTGCTGACGCAGAGAAACTTTCTCAGCCGCCGATGAGGAAGCCCAGGCTGAAGTAGAATCTTGGAGCTTTGGAAGAACTACTCTACAATCTAGGGTGACCCCTTCGCGTTTGGCCGGACTACCGGACATTACTTTGTAAGGTACGCATCTCTTCTGGTTGTGTAGCTCATTTCTCTCGGGGACCTTTCGCCTCCGGGGTGCTCCCAGCCCCAGCCAGCTCCTTTGAAAGTGACAGGAGAAGGAGCCGGTTCCTCAGTCCTCCGGGCATGTGGGCATTGGGTAGCTCCCTGGGCTGATGCCCTCTAGAAGAAAGGACCGCACGATGCGGCCCCCGTGCCTGGTGCGGCAGGATGCAAAGGATTGAAAATACCCACGGAAGAGAAATGTGGAGCAATAGACAAGACTAAATAAAACCTGTTGATGCCTGTTCTGGTAATGCTTGAGGCCGAAGCGAGGGGGAGCGTGTGTGCGATTCGCCGCCTGGAAGTGGTCTGTGTGCACTGTGTGCAAGTCCTCTTGGGAGCCTGCAAACTTTGGGTCTTGGGAGCTGGGGTTGCAGGGACCAGGGCCATCGGACAGGCGGGCTGGCGGCATGGTGCTGGCAGTGCGCTGGACCGGGCGAGGATCCGCCGGGGTTTCATCTCGGGGTCATGGAGAAGTGACTTCCACACAACTTCCAGATCTTCCTCCTCTTTGTCGATTTAGGAGCGAAGAGTATAGGGGATGGTGCAACTGATACATTGAAACCAAAGTGCAGGGAAGAGCTGCAACCTAGGGGGTGCAGGACTGTGCGTAGTCCTGATGATGGTGATCCTAGGGCTTGTGAGGATTTAGAAGGAGCCTCTGGGTGTTGCTATGGAAAGAGCCTCACCGTAGAGCTTGGGGGCTGGTGAGAGTCGGGAAGAGTTCCGGGAGCTTAGTTGGGCGTTCTGATCCTTTCTGGCATTCACCGCACTCCACCTCCTTCACTCCCAGACCCCTGCATCCACCAATTCATATTCATTCTCATTCTCTCATTCTTATTCTCATTCTCATTCTCCCTCTCTCCCTCTCTCTCTCTCTCTCTCTCTCTCTCCTCCCTCTCTCCCTCTCTCTCCCTCTCTCTCTCCCTCTCCTCTCCCTCTCCCTCCCTCTCCCTCCCCTCTCCCTCCCCTCTCCCTCTCCCTCCTACTCCCCCTTCCCCTCCCCTCCCCTTTCCCTCCTCCTCTCCCACCTCCCCTCTTCGCTCCCCCCCATTCTCTCTTTCTCCTCACACTTACATACACTCACACACACTTTTTCTGGTTAGGAGGAGCCCATTCCGCAGTTCTGGCAGCGCTGGGCTGCTTTGCAGTGCTACCCTGCTTGTAATAGAGAGCTCTTTTGAAGGCCAATTTTCTTGGAATGTGTTTACAATCTTGAATGGAGCTGGAGCAGGAAACAAGAAGATGCTGCTTGGAGTGAGCGATTTTATGTAGAGTAAGAAAGACGAGGATGTTTTGTTTGGCTTCTCTGGGAGAAAGCAGTACATTTTTTTGGGGTAAATAGATCGGGTAAGTGAGGTCCTATAGCAATTTTGCGAGAATTAGTGAAGGTAAACTGTTACTCTTGGTCTTCAGCAGAGCTCAGATGTGTGTGTGTGTGTGTGTGTGTGTGTGTGTGTGTGTCTGTGTTTCAACCAACACTACAATATCAGCGTGAAGATTTAGTGACTAAAACCACGTAAAATCATTCACGTAGGAGGCTGTGACGATGTGGTGAACCTGCTCAGAAAGTTGCTTATATATATTTTTTTCTTTTTCCGTTACAATGTTACACTTTCGGACTATAAGAATAAAAGTTTATTGGCGTCTGCGTTCTGTTAAGGGTTTAAAAATAGTCTTGCTTACTTGATACTTTTGCAGGTGATTCAAGAATACTTTCCCCTCCCATTTTTCTGCCTATTTTAGAAGCATTGATCTTAGTTTCTTTTTGTGTGTCCCTGGCATTGTGTGTGTGTGTGTGTGTGTGTGTGTGTGTGTGTGTGTGTGTGTGTAAAATCACAAATCTATCCCCAAATGGGGGAAATCATGGGAGGGGAGTATGATGGGTGGGGGGGAGTAGAGGAGATAGCTCAGTGAACCAGCCTATGGAGGAGGTTCTTAGAAAGTAATTTCCTTCTATTCTTTCTCCCAGCCCCTCCCGTCTAAAAAATAAACCCCTCGAATACTCACTCAGCTGTGGTAGAAAACCCATAAACTGAAAGAACAATAATGCTGACTCTTGCCACCACAGCCTATCTTAGAAATGAAACAGGACTGCTTGAATTGCAAACAGCTTTTCCAGGTTTTCACAGGATGAATAGGAAAGGAAAGAGAGGAGAGCCGGCTGGCCAGGCACAAAATAGTTGACTTTATGCTTGTAGAAATACAAACACGGGACTGGACTTGAAAAGAATTTGGGGACTAGAAAGTGCTAGGATGACTATTGAAGGGGTCCTTGCAAAGGTTTAATTTGTTAGTTTGGGGTAGGAAAACAAGGGAGGTTTCTTTTAAGGGCTCCCAGGGAGCAGGTTCTATTTCAGAGGTGACTAAAAACTTAATCTCTCTTCTTGTTAAACAGAACACAGAACGTTTTAATCAGTTACTTATGATGAGGAATATTCGTGTTTCAGAAGAAGAAACTTGGACATCCCCAGAATTAATACTGTTGACTATCTGCTGGTTACAGAGCAACGTTTTGATGAGATTTGCTTGACCCTCCATCTGAAGGATGTTTACTTTAGTCCTTGTGCTTGGTCCATGGTGTTCTTTTTGTACTCCATAAATTCGGAGGGAGAGGCACCATACTGGAAGGAATAGAGCCAGCCTTAGAGTTTTTTTTTTAAAAAAAGACTTCTTGGACATTAGCTGTTAGGCAATGATTTGTGTCCCAGGTAATTCTTTTAAGACTGTTGAACTGCTAATTTGCAACTGCGAATGGTATTTCTACTATGAAGGAAAAAAAATGAGCAGGAGTCTGAGGACCTGGGCTTTGAGTGGAAGACTTCCCAAAGAGGTATAATCAAATAGCACTGAAACTAGTCAAATCAAGTAGTCACAGAGGTGGGAAGCAACATTTTTGACTAGATATTTGAACTGTCAAATAAAAACAGTTCCACCAGCAATAATATATGGGTAACATATTTATAGAGTAAGGAGACCAGAGTTTTGGGGGCAGTGGACCCAGAGTAAGCTCTCCTCCAACTCTTGACCAATTAGGAACCCAGTAACTTAACTTGAATTACAAAAAGCTTTATCCAAATTTTTTTCTTTTTTTCAGGAGGGGAGAGAGGAATGAAAGTGTAAGGAAATATTGGGAAGAAAATGGGCAAGCAGCCTGCTTTGGTAGATATGTTTCTGGTCTGGGATGTAGAAGGGCTGGCTATATAGCCTTTCCTTTGAGATTGACTTTGTGAATCACTCTGGGGAAATGGCTTGCCCTTTCTGAGCCTCAATTTTTCCACTTGAAAAAATAGCAAAAATGATCATCTACTGCTTTTCAAGGGTATTGTTAGCATTAGTGAGGCAAAATGACCCAGCTAGAATTTTAACCTAAAGTTTCTGGGTTTTCCAACTCAGTGATAAATATATTTGGTTCATTTCTAGCCATGGTTGTGCAGTAGTGACTTTTGAAACTGATAGATTATGCTTACAAAATATTTTCGACATTATGATTGTAGAAACATTAATTTGGGAATATTTGCATGGTATTTCCTGCAATCATGTCCTTGTTGCATGGAGGCAAGCCAGAGTTCTCACAGGCAATACTATCAGTAGCATAAAGTCCTAGCAGGCTTTAGCAAGCTTAGCTATAACTAATGAGGGTCATTAGGAGGATTGGACACCAAATGATGAAGTTTTTCAGCTGTGGAAACTCTTTAAGAGTAAGGTGCTTAGGGGTTGTGATTTCTGTGCATGTGTTAAGTACTCACCTGGATGAAATGATAGCTCCTGAAAGTATGGTAGTAATGTAACAAACTGCAAGTGCTCAAAGATATACCAAGTTCAGACGAGACCTGGTCTTTGCCTTCAAGGAGTTTGCAGTATAGGAGATAAAATACCAACACAGATAGCTCTACAAAAGAAAAGGTTCTTTAAGGTCTGAGGGGAAAGGACATTTGCCATTATAGATGAGAGGGTAAAATAAGGAAAGGTGTTTTGGAGGTTGTGGCTTTTGAATTGAATTGAAAGTGTTAGGATTTTAACAACAACAAAAACAGAGAAGTATTGAAATAACTAATATTTAAATATTTATTAAAGCCTGAGCTAATTTTAATTCCCCCTTGCCTATAGCACTTTTAAGATTTATAAAATGTTTTTCTCCCAGTAATTCTATGAAGTAGGTAGTGAGGCATAATTACCTACATTTTATAAATGAGAAAACTGAAGCACAGAGAGAGGATCTTACTATTTATACAAACAAAGCCAGAAATTGAACCTGGTACTAGCACTCTTGCCACTATACAGTTGTGTTTCATTGTCTCTCTTATTTTACAGAAGAAAAACTAGAAAATGCAGTAATTTCCAGAACAAGTTATGGTTATAGCTATGTTCTCAAGGCTAATTGCTTAATAAAAGCTAATTCCAATTATGTCTTGTAAATCTGGTTTCTTATTATGAAATAGAAGGGCTTTTAAACATAACTGTAAAATGAATGTATGCTTTCATTTTCTTACGGACATGATCAAGGTAGAAGCTGTTACTTAAACAACTGACTCTGGAAATGGAACTTTAAACAGAAATAATCCATAAACTTGCTGATTGTTTTTCCCTGATGTGATTATTCAGAGTTTTACTTTGTCTGACACTTTTATCAGAAGTATACTTCTTTTCTGATTAACTTCACAGTCCAGTTTGCCACTCTGCCAATCCATATTCATCATACTACATTATTGGATTTTGGGAAAAGAGTCAATATTTCACAAAAGGAGAAAAAAGAATTACTATGAATGTTGTTTCAAAACTAGTTAGGTGGTACAAAGGGTTCATTTCTCTCTCTCTCTCTCTCTCTGTCTCTCTCTCTGTCTCTCCCTCTGTCTCTCCCTCTCATATTTATTAGTTTTGTTACCCTGGGAAATTTGCTTACAGCTCTGAGTCTCCATTTCCTTATCTACAAAATAAGAATAATGGTTCATGTGTTT